GAATGTCTGTACAAAGTTTAATGGCAATCCATTCAGTCTGGACCAAAGTGGTGGACTGACTGAGTGACTGATGTTGCCATGCTAGTGTGGCTAAAAATACTCAGGTCGAATTCTTATGTTTAAATAAAACAAAAAAAGAATGAAATATATTTAAAAACCTTGCAGCTCATACAACATTATGTCACCCCACCACCACTAAAGTAATTAAAAAGTAATTAAAGAATAATTGGGTAATTAACATCAATCTGCGTGGCTAAATATTACTAGTGGAAAGTTGGAGCCTAACAGTAAGTGGGAAAATGTTTTTGTAATTTGGGTGAAGTGACCTTTAAAGCTTAACATCAGTGCAACACTTCATCAAACTCAAGATGGCACCTTTGACTACACCCAGGCTAAAATAAGTGCCCACAATTATTCAGACTATTTTATACAAGTCTGATCCAGCAGTATCTCAGACAAATATGAGGGAAGAAGTACGTCTGTCCAGGAATGACTCCATTTGATTTATGTAAGAGAAATGAGATAAAAAAGACCTACTACTGCTATTTTACTCACTCATTCCAACCTTAACCTGAGCACAAGTCAGAGAAGAAAGGGAACCTGACCCAAATGTGCATGTTCACTTGAACTAAACAGAGCAAGACTGAAGCCTGCATAAATCGATGGGGAGCAGCTGGGAGTGCTCCTTTGCTTCCTTGTTGAGAAAATTACAACTCCACTCATGTTGTGCGGTATGCTCTGTGAGAGAAGCAGCTCAATTTTGTCTTATGGAGGTTCTTCAAATACAATAGAAGAGCTGAAGCATTCCTTGAGGATCAAAGCTGTCATCTGATGTTGGAGAAATCCCAGAACTTGTACTAGATGGAGGTGGTGCTCTTCATTCTATAGCAGCTCATAATGAATACTCCATGAGACTTTTGTTTTACTTATTTAATCTAAAGAGAAACCACATGGTGGCAGAGTCAGCCCAGCAGGTAAAACCAATTATATTAGACCCCCCAAAAAAAAAAACTATAAAAATGACAAAAGCATTTCTTTCATATATAGTGCAGAAATCTGATTTTCCTCTAAAAACAAGATTTTACACTGACCATAGATTTGACAAGGCCTTGGGTGTTTTCAGATTTTCTCATTTATTCTCTTAGTCAAGTCTCATTCCCTTTATGTATAATAAACCAGTTTTTCAAATAAAAAGTTTGGTTCAGGCAATGTCATGTGTCTCAGTGCCCACCTCATGCACGTCACTGATACAATATACAGTAAACTGCAACAGAAAAAGATACTGTCTTTAAAATGGGCAACACTTTACTCTTTCGCAGGCTAATTTTGGATTGCCCTCAAGCACAATGACAGGAATTATATATCCATCAGTAGCAAGATGTACAGTGTAAATGAAAATTTTCCAGTGGAAAGTTCTATGGAACTTCCTGTCCTGTTGCAGTTTTTAGGAGACCCTGTACTAAATTTACAACTTTGCCACCCAAACCTAGTGCAGCTTAGTAAATATTTCACTGTGTATCCCCTTGTAGCCCTAAAAGGTTTGACAGGCTCTCTGGGATTTGACTGCAGAAAATAGTTTGCTTTAGATGGTAGCCTAGGGGAATTAATGGCATTCTCCATTAGCATGGGCGCCCTGTTTGTTTATGGCTGGTGGTCCCTGAGGGCTGCCGCAGGTGTGGATATGTCCCAAACCCTGCAGAGTTAACAAAACTCTCACAACTCCTTATGTGTGTTTCTGTTAAACCCATGCTGTTTTATGGGAGGTAATTATAATTCATGGCCTCTTGTTGTTAGCTTGACCATGTGCTTCCTCTGTGGTCTGAGATATCCTATGTGGAGTCTAAGATGCTACACATTTTGTATAATATGATCCAATGTAATGCATACATGTATTTGACTCTAATTAATTACATACTTATTCTGGGTATTTTTGTATCTTTAAGCTCAGTGTTTTGGTTTTATGGCCCAGAGCTGAACTGTTTTGGTTCACGCTCAGTGCACTCATTAGTGGAGTTTTCAGTCATAGGCAGCTGTTTTAGGTTAATAAGCTTGAAAAACAGGTTGTAGTACACTACCTCAACAGAACAGCAGACAAAGTTAGTAACTAGTTAGTCAGCATAAGGAAATATTTAGCTACTGCAAATCCAAATATTTCCTTGAGGGGTTAATGAAGAGCAAAATAGAGCCAAATGCCAAGTGAATATTACAATCATCAAGTCATCAAGTGAACAGAAACATGTCTCTAAATGAATGCTAATGTTACTCTGTGATGGCTGAGTGTTTAAACAAGTAGCTGCTTAGTACAGTATCAAACTTTTGCAATATCAGGCTTAAAGGTAATAATACAGTGCTGTAGGGATGATGTATAGGCTCAGCCCAGAAGTTACTATCTCCATGATTCCCTTGACAAAAAGTCAATGGGATTTTTCCATAGGCTTTTGGATTATTGCAGAAAATAAGCTCTGTGCCAAACAATGGTTTATGATGTATTTTTTCTCAGAAAGATAACCCTCACAAGTGAACACCACTTTTATAATTTTTGAAGCCCAGATATGATTGCCAGATGTAAAAAGCTATTGTTAGGCTATAAATGAACTACACCACGGTCCCATGACTTCACTGTCACCACCATGACTTCCAACTTGTAGTTTAATTTAGCGAGCTTACTTCTTCTAAAAAAAACTTTCCTCTTAGCGTGACCTGATCTAGCTAGTGATCATGGCTGTGTCAGTTAGCTAGAACAGTTTGCAAGTGGACAAGTTTAAACATAATGAGACTGTAAAGGCAGGCTTGTGAGCAGATTAGTCTCCGTGTGTGTCGTGATGATGTTTAATATCCCAGACAGCCTTTGTATTGGCCTTGTGTTAACCACAGACCTTATTTCAGAAATCTAACCCATTCAAAGAACCCATAAACTTCAGGGCGAGGGAACCAGAAGTTCAAAAATGCTCAGTTCTGGGTTTTAGGACTCACTACTATGGCACTCTTATGTACCAGTGCTTTGTTTATAGCTTATTTGACCTGTTCTCAACTGATTTCACTGGGCATATTCACATATTATGTGTGGGTACTTAGTATGTTGTAGTTCTATCGCTGTTGGATGTGTCTGCCCATTCTCATTATAGCATTCTTTATTATACACCTTTCATATTTGCTGTACCCTGTTATCGCTTCTCTGGGGTCAATAAAATTTAATCTATTTGTGTCAAAATGCACAAGATAAAACCAGCATGAGGTTTCACAGATGTTTGCATCAACTCATCCTGCTAAAATACACACAAGCTGCTGTGTAATGAAGTGTTAAAATGCATGCTGTCTTATCAAACCTGGCATTTGTTTGTCTCTAAAAGGTGGTGAGAGGATTTTGTAACTAATAAGAGAGTGTCTGAAAACAGCTCTGCCTTCTAAAGGGCTGATGATGACTCATAGGTTCCTGTTGCTGCCCTCCACCCCCACCAGGCACATAAATATCCCCCCAAATAAGCCCCACAACCACCTTCCTCATTACAGAGTTCACATTCAGAGAGAAGTGTTGGATTTCTGGGTATCCATTACATATTCCTAAGAATTTCCCCAGCATTATCTGCCTTGTACCTGCTTGACATTTTTGTCTTCACGGATTCAGTGCCCCTTGTGAAGCTTAATTACAGTTTAAGCAAGAGTTTTTTCCATTCTTGTCTTTCTTGAGCTTTTCCCCATCTGCCAGAGCTGCCATGGGCAACAAAATAATGTCACCTGTCTCAGTTAACTGATGGACGTTCACTTGTTGTCATGGTAACTGTGACAAATTCTCACAGGAATTGTATGTACTGTCATCACATGTCTCAGGTACCTGTCGGTTTAATACAGTACACATGGCATGTGGCCCTAATATGAGGTGAAAACAATGTGACTTTATGCAGCACACACCTGAGTACTTTCAGCTGTAGTGCAGTTGTCCTTTCCAAGTGATTCTGATCTACATCAATACCAACTGCACTGTGCATTGTCAGTTTTTTGAGCAGCACAGATGCCAGATTTTCTAAAGCAAGTCAGTAGGTGGCAAACTAAGGATTTTGATTATTTGCAAATAACTTTTTGTTGCTGCAGTGTGCCAGTTTTAAAAAGCAGTGAAATAGATTTCTAAGCAATTTTGGAATTTTGTATGTTTGACAACAATTAATCAATCAAGTTTAGTATATAGCGCCTGTCATACAGGTTCATGCAAATACAATAAAGCCTATCTTTAATCTCAATGTAACACAACATTAAGTGCAGATTCTATGTACACAGCCTCATGGCATTTGTGACAATCAAAGGACTATACTTTAGGAAAATTGAAGCAAATGTTTAAAGATTAAATAACACTTTCATAACAGACAAGATATGTAAAAATTCAACATTTAAAAAGCCGTTGATGAAGTGAAGAATTTGATTCATCCTGATTTCGACACTGCTGATAGCATCACTGGTGGACAATGAAGCAAACTGGCCATTGCTTGCAAAATCTTGTTAATGTTGTGATTAACAACAGCAGAAAAAAACAGAAAAACAGCCTGGAGACTCACGGATACAGCTTCCATCAATGACACAGTTGATATTGTTGTAGACTGCGGGCACACAGCCAAAACACATGGAGATGTCACAAATCTATCATCTTGTGAGAAGAGTTTGTTTTCCCAGTTTTGTACAAATTCAAGCCTATATACCTTATTTTATATTTATTTTTCTGACACCTCCACTGAGTTGTTGGTTTGATTGATGGTTCTGGCTCTACATGCTAAGCTCCTCCAATGCCAAAGAAAAGCTGCTAACGGCCCTCCAGGCAAAGCCAAAGAGTGAGACCTCTCACTGAAATGTCTGTCCTTGAAAATTGTGGACATGTATTTGATGCTACATTAGGCAGCAACTTTCTGTACTTAAGCAATGTCTGGGTGCGTTATTTGTGATTAGTGAATGTCGATCTTTGTTTTTGAGAAGATAAAGCCAACCTATGCCTCTTTTGTCTCCTTTCCTCACAGGTATCTGGGTATCACGCGGCCTCTCACCTACCCAGCCCGCCAGAATGGTCAACTGATGGCGAAGATGATCCTTGGAGTGTGGCTGGTCTCAGCATCCATTACCCTGCCACCTTTCTGCGGCTGGGCCAAAAATGTCCACACAGCAGGTGTGTGCCTCATTAGCCAAGACTTTGGCTACACCATCTATTCAACAGCCGTAGCCTTTTACATCCCTATGCTGGTCATGCTGGTCATGTACTATAAGATCTTCAGGGCAGCTCGTAAGAGTGGCGCCAAGCATCGCTTTACCGACCTTTCGCGGCGTGAGCGCCTTGAGACAGTGACCAATGAGGCGCTGCGCATGCAGGGCCTGAAGCCACCCGGTATGGCTGAGGAGTGCGCTGCCTTGTCACGCCTGCTTAACCATGAGCGCAGAAACATCTCCATCTTCAAGCGGGAGCAGAAAGCAGCCACAACACTCGGGGTAATCGTGGGGGTATTCACTGTTTGTTGGCTGCCGTTCTTCATTCTATCCACCGCCAGACCCTTCATCTGTGGAGTGGAGTGTAGCTGTGTGCCCATCTGGCTGGAACGCACACTGCTCTGGTTAGGCTACGCCAACTCTCTAATGAACCCCTTCATCTACGCCTTCTTCAACCGGGACCTGCGCTCCACTTATCGTGACCTTCTCCGCTGTCGTTATCGCAACATCAACCGTCGACTGTCTGCTGTGGGCGTGCACGAGGCTCTTAAGGCGTAAAGCAGGCATATATTTTAGCGGCATATACCGACTCTGGAAAAGTGTGATGACCCCGTACTTATACACTCGGTGCTTAAAGAGCACCATGTACACAGCAAGCCTCTAGACAGACTGTCAGAGTGAGAGTCATTGTTGGTGGCGCTCTGGCCCCTCGCAAAGACAGAGAGACAGCGCAATCACTCCAATGTGAGAGTGTGTGAGAGAGAGTGTGTGTGTGTGTGTGACTCAGTCATTCTATTTTGAGAAAGAAAATCATAGAGAGTGCTTGATGGGCTATTCAAGCCGACACTGCTTTTGTGCATATGCCACAATTTTGTCCTGACTCTGGATTTATGGTGGGATCATGTAGTGACAAAGGAAATGAAACACAATCAATCATCCTAAGGCTTTCAAAAGGAACAAGAAGCAAACAGATTTCTGTATAATAACAGTACTGATGTTTGTTTTGTTTTGTGCACAATGTCTGCTGTGCATCTTCATCAAATCGTGTTTAAACAGATTGATTTCAAGCCAGGAGGTGAACACTCTGAGGTGGATTGTGCTTTGTGCCAGGATTAAATAAGTATTAAGTATTTATATCACTGTATCTCCAGCCATTTGTTTCTATTTGGTCCTCTCACTAAATTTAACAGGAGCACCTTAAATGTTTCACAAATGTTTAAAGTGTGATGATGCCAAAGGAAATGAGGTGGGTGTAAAATGGTGTTAAAACGCAACATAAGGGAAACATTTTTCCATTCATGAAATCTTGGTATTTCTACAAGATAAACTGAAAGTACTTTGTTTAGCATCTGCATGAAAAATGGTTTTCTTACACACCACTGTATACATAAATTATGAGACTTTTAATAGTGAATGACGGTTTGGCAGAGGCGTTTCCATGTTTCAGCCAGCCATTTTACCACACACATTAATTCAATATGAACTCAATACTTTATGTCAGAAACCATGATACTGTGGACTTTTCCATTCTTGTTTTTTTTTTTGCCTTGATGGGTTTAATCCCACACTTTGCTGCTGACCTTCTTGCTTGATACAGAAAAGTACGCTGCAATTTTGCTTTAAAAGTTTACATGTTCTTCTGACTGTTTTGTTGCACTGGCTGTCGACAGTGTTTCTGTCTCTCTTTTGAATCAGGATGTGGTCACTTCTGTCCTGACTACACTCCCATTTGAACTACTTGGTAACCTGTAAGAATCTGTGTCAAACGTCATCATTCAAGCAGTGCGTGCTTTTTCTACCTCGGGTTTTTGAACATACTGTACAGTTCCTCCTAACAGATGTACCGCTGTCTTGCATCATTTTGTAATCAACAGCTATTTTATAACATGTAAGATCAGTTTGTCTACAACTGCTCTGTGATTACTCTGTTTGACTGCTTCATCATTGCTTTCAGAAAAAAAAGCCAGGGAACTGGCAAAGCATTTCATCACTTTACAAATAAAGAATCAACTGGTCAAAATGTCACTGTGCCCTATGTCACACATCCAATGATATAGAAAGTCACTTTCAGCTTTTCCCGTCTAGGGGTCGCCACAGCAAATTGTCACACTGACGACTCGCATGTTGATATTTGGCACGTTTTACACCGGATGCTCTTCCTGACGCAACCCTGATTCGAACCCAGGGCACAGCGGCGAGAGCACGGCGCCTTAACCACTAATGATATACATTCATGAAAACATAAGTGATTCAGCGATGGCATCGAAGTTCTTTGGAGTGAGAATAAAAAGATCTTTTTTTATCATGTTTTCAAACACCAGAGAATCATATAGGGCCCTTTTGCTTTTTAGCCCCACCGAACACATCCTCATCATCATCAAAAGAGTAATGCACATAGTTATTGTACAGATTCATTATTTTTGCTGACTAGACTGAGAGGGCTATCATGAGGAATAAAGACCTCAAAGCCTGCTAGAAGTCTTTGAAACACTCATGGTATTTTTTAAAACGAGTGTTTTATTTCCAAGGCCGTCATTCTACTGCAAATAGTCTGAAGATGTACCTGAGGATGGTGACCCCAGAAAGATGCATTTACTGTATACACTTCACTGCTTGAAGCTAAATCTTTTAGTCAGTCTGGGTGACAGCTGCTTTCTACTGTTCTGTAGAGACACAGAGATGATGTCAAGTCTCACATGTGTGACGTGCCATGTCTTGTGGTCAGAGGAATTCAAAGACTCAAACCAGCAGGAAATAAGTTACACTTTGCAAAAAACAGCAACTTGTTCATAGCAGTTAGTTGTAAGACTTTTAATATGTTAGCTATCTAAGTACAGATTAAGTCAGGCTGTGTTCATAAGTATAAAAAAAGAAAATCACAAATTTAAATAAGAAGGACAATCTGATTGTTACCAACTCAACAAGACTTAGAGTCCACAGACACCCCAGAGTCTCTTTGATGCTATAATTAGGCACAGCACAACATGGAGCTAAATGCTAACATCAACATGCTAATATGCTTTCCATAACAAAGTTAAACCAGCAACAGGTTTTCTTTTTGCTACTAGAAGACTAAAAAAAAAGTGTGAATATCGAGGTGATTGTGACCTTTTACCCTTTTACTGTTAGTGTCACGTCTGTGACCCAGGCCGCCCCCTGTACCTCGGTAGCAGGCACAGGTAGTTCCAGCAGCTCCACCCCCGCACAGGTGAGGGTGCGTTCCAGGCGACGAGGCACACCTGCTCTCAATCTTCGGAGCAATACATAGGGTCGGCGTTGGTGCGTCCTCCTCGCCAGATTGTCCTATGTTGTCCTGCTAGTAAAGCCAGTTCGTGTTCATGTCAAAAACTCAGGGTTATGGACTCTGATCTGTGCTCCTCACTGAACGCTGTGAACAGTAATTACGCTCAGTACTGTTGCATCGGGTTTTTTGCCCTTCTTATGCTTTAACTAGGCCCTAAATATTCTTCTGATAGCAGTTTATTTCATATTTCTGTTTAAATATTTGGACTGTGTCATAACAATATTCTGAAAATCATCTGCTCGTTTGGGTTGGCGATAAACTTAGCCAGTTACTGCATGTTGCCGTCTGTCAAATCATTTGGTGGGATAGTTCCCAACTACAGCATAAGGACTTTTCTAAATATACTTTTCATTCTCACTATGAGTATCTCTCCAAATCCACTCAATAGGTACATCATTAAGCAATAAAAAAATGCCATGTCAGCACCCCAGAGACAAATCTATCTAAATGGGGCTTTGTGGCCTAATGTGTGTGTATTTCAGGACACAATGAAATAAAAATGTTTGAGACTCTCCTAAGTAAAGAGCAGGAACATGGCCTCAGCTGACGTGTTGACATTTGGTTTTTTGCTCATGAAATGGCCTGCAGCCCCGGTGGCCCTTGTTGTTCTCCCCTAACATGGCCAGTGTCCCAGGAGCCATGTCAGCAGGCATTGCTCTCAGGGAATGAACATCATTCTGCATGAGAGAAGTGCCTGCTCTGGCTAACAGTGTGGCTCTTCTCCTGCACTGGCTCCTGATGTGTGGCGTTGCTATCAGTGAATGGGAGAAGAGGGTAGAATGTTGACATGTGATGTACTATTTCATAAAAGGAAAAAGTAGCAAATGAGTCTTTCACATATTCTGCCCACAGGCGCAGATGCTAGCTCTGAAAGGGGAGAACATTTTTAATCTGTCCCAGTAATTAAGTGGGAAAGCTTTGATTAAGCATGAGGAAAAAGATGTGACGTGTTATGATTATTATTATTATTTTTTAAATCTTGCAACATGTCTTTTGCATCTCGTCATGTAAATACTCACTGAGTATAGGAGACAGCCTTCAGCAATTTGACTATGGGGACCAGCAACTGATAAAGGTAATAGTTGCCAACATTTGCATATCAGCTTTACACTATATACTATATAACATTTAGAATTTGTATAGGAACACTATTTTCCTAATCATCAATTTATTTATTCATTGTGGTGAAATAGTACTGAAATACAGCAATGCTGATTTTAGCCTCTAAAATGATTTAGATAATACAGTCTGAGAGGGGAACATCACTGTGTGATTTACTAGTAAAGACACACAACCCTGGACAGGCAGCTGCAATGAGAATTTGCTTCCTACTAAGAGGTCAGAAGCTTACCACAACCTTATCTGATTCCAGGGTCAAAGGACAGAGGGTGCTGTACTGTATGGTTTACAGATTATACTGCCCCCCTGACCCAATATAAATAAAGCTGAACTGACCTGACTTCACATTATACAAATTTACAGTAAAAAGCAGTGTGGAGTTTTATAGCAAATGAAGAAAAGTTATGTTTACAGTTAGTACTTCTCAATAAAGTGCACCATATCCCTAAGTTCTAATATATGTGTTGACTAGATTTTTAGACTTCCAATTTTATTTTGTTTACATATATGTTTACTAACCAGCATTACCGCCATCACCTGAGGATCAGTGAAACAGCATGAAACCAGAGACAGGTTGTATATTGTACCACCTGCAGGCCACCATGTAGGCCTGATATGAATAAAATCAGTACGCAAGCTCCTCAAACTAAAATGACCACTTTGCAATTGTATGCCTTCACCACCCAGTGAAATTCACAGGGATGGGACAGACATGAGGTCACTGACCTTTGACATGTGACCACCAATATCTAGTCAGTTAATCTTCGAGTCCAAGTAGACGTGTCGTGTATAGAATTAATTCACAGGGAGAATCACTGCAGTGCCAATCATCATTTATTGAACAATATATTGTAATATGGATTGAGAGGGAGAGAAACAGAACCACCTGGATTTCTCTGCAGAGTTTCTGGGGTCTGTGTCTGTCTTCTCAAGTCTTCACATTCACCCATGCGCTCTCCCAGTCTAAGTCTCTGTCTCTTCAGCTTTGCAGCATCCTAAATAGCTATCTATTTCCCAACTTCCTCCAATTGTCAAGGTCTTGCCTTCCATCAGGCCCCCACCCTGGTATCATTTCTCTATTTTTGGGAAACCCCTACAGCCGGTTACTGAAAAACAGAAAACTGGAAACCATGATCATGCAGAGAGAAACGTACACAGAAGAACAGAGAATTCTGACTATACTTAAAGTTTAACTAACATTGGCCTAATAATATTAACTATATCAAGTTTGCTTTTACCACTACAGACGCTTCTGCCAAATTTAAAAAAAATTTCGTCAAGGTGTTCTTGTTATATCTCATCCACAAGGATGGGTTGGCCGGCCAGGCGGACAACCCAAAAACATAATCCCTCCAGCCACTGCTATCACTGGCAGGCACTCATAAAAACTGCTCTCTTGATGCTACTAGTGAAGAACTCCACAAAGAACCTTTATAAGCTTTCATAGTTAAAAGCTTTTGGATTTACTGTTTACCAGTGAACTGTCTGGAAAAAGTAGAAGAACTACAGTATTGTTCAAAATAATAGCAGTACAATGTGACTAACCAGAATAATCCAGGTTTTTAGTATATTTTTTATTGCTACATGGCAAACAAGTTACCAGTAGGTGCAGTAGATTCTCAGAAAGCAAACAAGACCCAGCATTCATGATATGCACGCTCTTAAGGCTGTGCAATTGGGCAATTAGTTGAAAGGGGTGTGTTCAAAAAAATAGCAGTGTCTGCCGTTGACTGTACAAACACAAAACTATGTTGTACAAACGTTTTTGTTTCTAGGATTTAGCAATCCTGTGAATCACTAAACTAATATTTAGTTGTATGACCACAGTTTGTTATAACTGCTTCACATCTGTGTGGCATGGAGTCAACCAACTTGTGGCACCTTTCAGCTGTTATTACACTCCATGATTCTTTAACAACATTCCACAATTCATTTACATTTCTTGGTTTTGCTTCAGAAACAGCATTTTTGATATCACCCCACAAGTTCTCGATTGGATTAAGGTCCGGGGATTGGGCTGGCCACTCCATAACATTAATTTTGTTGGTTTGGAACCAAGACTTTGCTCGTTTACTAGTGTGTTTGGGGTCATTGTCTTGTTGAAACAACCATTTCAAGGGCATGTCCTCTTCAGCATAAGGCAACATGACCTCTTCAAGTATTTTGACATATGCAAACTGATCCATGATCCCTGGTATGCGATAAATAGGCCCAACACCATAGTAGGAGAAACATGCCCATATCATGATGCTTGCACCACCATGCTTCACTGTCTTCACTGTGTACTGTGGCTTGAATTCAGAGTTTGGGGGGCGTCTCACAAACTGTCTGTGGCCCTTGGACCCAAAAAGAACAATTTTACTCTCATCAGTCCACAAAATGTTCCTCCATTTCTCTTTAGGCCAGTTGATGTGTTCTTTGGCAAATTGTAACCTCTTCTGCACGTGCCTTTTTTTTAACAGAGGGACTTTGCGGGGGATTCTTGAAAATAGATTAGCTTCACACAGACGTCTTCTAACTGTCACAGTACTTACAGGTAACTCCAGACTGTCTTTGATCATCCTGGAGCTGATCATTGGC